CCCAGGCGCGGCCGCCTGTCTGTCCCTCGACGGAAGCCAGGACGGGCGGTGTGGTGTGGGCGGGCACCTCTGTCCTCCAGCTCGGTGCCCCTCCCCCAGCAGTGCCCCCCACACCCGTGCTCCGGTCTCGATGAGGTGGTCGGGCCCTCGGCCACCCTTTCCTTCCTCTCGGCCACCCAAGGCTCTCCTTGGGAGCAGTGAGGGCTTCTGGGGGCGCCTCTGGGTGCCGGGCGCCTTGGACTACGCTGGGGAGCCACATTGGCCTGGGAGGCAACTTTTAGAAGGGTGAGGGGCGATGTCAGTCTCAGCCCTGAGTGGTGTCAGCTGTCACCGACTGGGAAGCTCAAGGACAGACACTGACCTCCATAGTGCTGAAGACTGCAGGTCCGGGATCGAGGTGCTGGTGGGCTGGTGCTGGGGAGGGCTCTGCCTGGCTCCTGGAGAGAGCCTTCTCCCCACAGAGCTGTCCAGTTGCCTGCGTAGGAATCCCATCATGGGATCGGTCTTTACTTCTGAATATACTTCGCTGGGGTTAGGGCTCCAGAGTGCTAATTTGGGGGGACACAATACATTTCCCATAAGAGACCTCGCAGAAGGGATGCTGCTGAGGCTGAGCAGGGGGCCATGTGGCCTGGGGTAGCTGTGGCCGATGCCCTGTTTCACGTGTGGCAGCCACATCTGTGCTAAGCCACCCTGCACTACTCAGACCAAGTGAAAGGCTGCTGGGAATCCTTAGAGGCCTGAGCCTGTGGAAGCCCTGCTGTAAACTGAGTCCCAGTCAGCAGGGATTTCTTTGGATTGCCAGCAGGCCTTGGGGGAAGGCAGCTACCGCTGTGGTGTTCAGCACCTGCCCCAGTCCTGCTCAGCAGGGAGAGCTGATTGGGGCCTGATCTGACAGACATTGTAGGGTGCTGACCTCACTGTGTGGCCGGGGTCAGGACTGGAGACGAAGCCAGGTGCTGCCTACCAGCTGCTGGGATTTGTTTCCCTCGAGGACAGCAGCAAGGGGTCTGCTGCCTTGGTCTGTGCCAAAGGTTTGAGCCTGTCTGGGAAGGACAGGTGGGGAGCACAGGACTATGCTGAATGCCCAGGTGGGTGTGGGGAGGTGGAGGCTGGGCTCAGGTCTCCAGACAGAAATACTATGCAGTGAAGGGTGGTTTAGCAACCTGCTGGAAGTGTTCCAGAGGAAAGTACACAATATGATAACTTCAGAGACTCAGGATCACAGGCTGTGGTGCTGGGGACTTTAGTGGCCTTCCTGCCTCCCACCCCATCAGGCACTGCCCTTGGTAAGATGCCAGGGAGCTGTGCAGGGCCTCCCATTGCTTTTGAGTGGCTGGTGGGGCTTAAGCCTAGACTCCTGGCTCAACAGGCTTCTCCTGTCCCCTTAACCCGGTGGCACCCAGAGGCAGGACTGTTTCTTGCTACTGAAGCCTCTCCAAGGCAGACTTGGAGCCCTCTCCTGGCCTCCTCAGGCACAGGCACACCCAGGGCAAGCTGCAGAGGGTGGGTTGGCCTGGCTGACCGCAGACCTGTGGCTGGGCGCCTGTGGGAGGGCAGGGCAGGCTGAGGCAACGTGGTCTGCTCCCATTCGCTGGCAGTGCCACAGCCTCCCGCCCGCTGCCTTCACAGGATGTTTTTTTTAAGAAGATTTTTTTTGTTTTTTGTTTTTTTGCTCCTGCTTTGGCAGCCTTGTGCTGCTCATTAATAAGAGTTGTTTGCTTCCATGTGTGAAGCCGGACTGAGGAAGATTGTTTCCCATTCCTTGTCAGGCAGCAGTTGTGGGCCTGCAGGGTGGACCCTGGCCCTGACTGTCCTCTACCTTCCGGGTTCATGAAGGGGGAGGGCCCACAGGCACACTGCCTTCCCTCCCAGCACACCTTCCTGTTCCTGTCGGTTGGTTTTCTCTGTAGAAAGAAAGGAGGCCCAATGGAGCTGATGACTGTGGGCTTTGACAGAGACCTGGCTGTGCCCAGATGGAGCCAGCAGTGGTGCTTCACAAATGTGCTGGCCTTTATGATGCCTGAGTAGGGCAGGCTCCAGACCTGGAAGCCCAGAGGGAAAGGAGTGGGCCGGGTCTTTCCCTATGGGGCAGGCCATTGAGGACTGAGTTCAGAGGCCCAATCGGGCTCTAATTACTGCTTTCCTTGGTCTCTGCTGACCTCCCTGCACATTCTACAGCCCAATTGCTTCCTGAGCCCTGACCCTGACCCTGCTGCTCCCTGCCCACACCACTTCCTCTGCCAGAGGGCTCTGCTGGGCTCGGGATGTCCTTCCTCTTCTAAGTCAGCCTCGGGGCACATTTGTATCAAGCACTTGTTTATGCCCAGAGAGAGATGCTGTCAGCCCAGAAAGTGCACTGAGTTCCTTTTCTGCGGCCGGGAAGCTGAAGGTGGTCATCACCATCCATCCTGACAGACACAGCTGAGGGCCTAGGTCTGCGTGTATGGCAGGGCTGCAGGACATGGAGGGGAGAGAAGTTTGAGAGAGCACACACTTGTGCTTTCCGTTTTCTCTGCATCATGAAAGTTCTGGGTTGTGTGCTGCAATGATGAGGTGGAAGTGAGTCCAAGGCTCCCTGCCAGCACCATGGGGTCACAGCTCCCCCATGAGTGTTCCTTTGGTGCACAGCTTGGATATTCACAGACCCTCAGAACATGCCACGCTGCCTAGGCGTGGCTGAAAGCAAATTGGGGCTATTTTAGTTCACTAACATTACAGCATACAGGTTCCAATAGCAGATTTCTCAGATCGGGGCCACACTCAGCTGTGAACTGCCTTCGGCTCACAGGCTGGCACCACAAGTGTCAGTTAAGGAACCAATCTTGGTCAGGTCTTACAGCTTCTTCCAATGCCTGCTGAGCTCCTGTGGCTCACGTCTTGCAGTTGGGTTGTTTTAACTGCTCTGTCAGGTGGCATTTGTCAGGAAAAATGGAATGCCTTTGGACCCCACTCAGCAAGTTCAGGAAGAGCTATACAGACACAGGGGAGCATTGCCAGTGTTTCAGTGGGACCCTGGTCCCCACCAGAGCCTTAGTGGCCACAAGTATGGGTCTGGTGGAGGCCATTTGTCCCCCTTCAGTCAGCATGACCCTTGTCCCTCAGTGAACACCTGGCATTCCAGGGCTGTGTCCGCAGAGCTGGGGGCTCTTTGTGAGGACACAGCGTGAAGCCCTGACACTGTGAGCTGGCCCTCTGTGGGGCCACCCTGGACTTCTTCTGCCTTACATTTCTCTCAAGCTGGAGGAAACCCTGGCCCCAAAGGGTGCCACCCTCTCTGCCTTCCCCAGGACCCCTCCATCTGGTTGGGTGCTGCTTGCCCATTTCATTGCTCTTAGAGGCTGTGGGTTTTTAAACCAGGCCTTTCCTAGACCTGTACCTTGGCAGCCTCCTCTGGCGGTCAGGGCAGGGAGTATGAGGGTCATTCAGGATGCCTATTCCCAGCCCTGAGGACTGAGTCCTGTTTTCTAGGCATCTTCCATCTGCTTGGAAGCTGCCGTCCAGCCATGGAAGGGGAGGAGCAGCCACCTCAGGAGGTGAGGGTGCTGGCTGCCAAGCCTTCCCACGAGGTTTCCATCTACCCTGTGGCCTCCTCAGGTCCCTCTGGTTCATTCTCTGCCAAAAACTTGCTGTGGAGAGCAGGTTTTCTGCATCCTGGCAGGAAGCCCCTCCAAGGGGAAGGTGGGGTTCCTAATCTGGGGGGTGGAGTTCACGAGCAGCTTCTCCAGGGCAAGTGGATGCCAGCCTGACCTCTCCCTCCTGCCCCAGGCTGATATGGAAACTGTCATGACATCGGGGGCCTCAGAGTCGGTGCCTAGGGTGCTCTCCGGAGAAGCCCAGAACCTGTGTATGTTTCCCATGGAACCGTGGGGTGTGGGGCTTGAGGTATCTTCGGCACAGATGGTGCTGCAAGCAGCACTGGCCAGCAATCAGGAGGGGGCTCCTGAGCATGAGTGATGAGGGTAGTGGGGGCCCCCACTGCATCCCCAGTGCCCTGGTTGGAGTTGAGCACCTGGTCCCTGCTGTCCCCCACCCTGGGGCTCCTGAGGCCCACAAGGACCAGGCACGTGGACAGGGCAGCCCATTGGGGCACATGCTGTGGGAGTCAGACCCCATCCACGGTCCCTAGAACACAGAGCCAGGCCTTCGCCCTCTGTGGCCCTGCTTTCCCTACAGCCGACGTGGACGCCTTCAACCTGCTCCTGGAGATGAAGCTGAAACGGCGGCGTGAGCAGCCCAATCTGCCACGCACGGTGACCCAGCTGGTGGCCGAGGATGGGAGCAGAGTATATGTGGTGGGCACCGCCCACTTCAGTGACGACAGCAAGCGGGACGTGGTAAAGGTAAGACCTGCTCTGTCCACAGCTGCCCACAGTTGCGTTCCAGTCCTATAGCAGCTGTAGCACCTTGTTTGTAACTAGAACCTGTTCCTAACTTCCTTTGGTTGCTTAAAGAATTGAGGGTCATCAGCAGCCAAGTATTAGCACAGGGCAGCAGGTGAGTCCCTCGGGGTGATGCTGCCTTGCAGACCATACAAGAGGTGCAGCCTGACGTGGTGGTCGTAGAGCTCTGCCAGTACCGTGTGTCCATGCTGAAGATGGATGAGAGGACGCTGCTGCGCGAGGCCAAGGAGGTCAGCCTGGAGAAGCTGCAGCAGGCCGTGCGGCAGGTGCGTGCTCAAGGGGGCAGGCGTGGGGGCAAGGCCAACGTCCCCATGTGCTGTGCCCGGGCTGAGGTCCACTACACTGGTTGGTACATAGTGCCAAGTCTACCAGGGGCTCTGCCTAGTTGGAACCCCGACCTCAACCTGTAGGAGAAGAGAGGGCAGATCTGCGCAGTCTCAGTAAGAGAGGAGCCAGCCAGGCCACTGGGCTGGAATTGGGGGTCTGAGCAAGCCACATGGCTGCAGGCCCTCATCCTGCACTCCTTATCGAGACCCAGACAGCACACCCCCTGTCTGTCTGCCTGGTGTCAGCGCCCTGGCTCAGGTGTCCATGGCAGTTTTCTATTCGGCACCCTGACTGTCCTATAAAGAAAGATTTCCTAAGAGGACACCTGTGGCACAAGTGGCTCTGGAGGGCAGGGCGCATCCTGGTGTGGGAGGAGTCTGAGGATGTGGGGCCTGGCACTGCCCAGTCTCCTGCCCCACACTTGTGCCTCTCTCCCACAGAATGGGCTCATGTCCGGGCTCATGCAGATGCTGCTGCTGAAGGTGTCAGCCCACATCACTGAGCAGCTGGGTATGGCCCCTGGTGGCGAGTTCAGAGAGGCCTTCAAGGAGGTGGGCACTGGGTATGACCTGAGGGTGGCAAGGACCTGACCCTGGGAGGGGGCGGTGGGAGCTGCAGGGCTGTGCCCAACATGGCCTCTGCTCCAGGCCAGCAAGGTGCCTTTCTGCAAGTTCCACCTGGGTGACCGCCCCATCCCTGTCACCTTCAAGAGGGCCATCGCTGCACTGTCCTTCTGGCAGAAGGTCAAGCTGGCTTGGGGCCTGTGCTTCCTGTCAGACCCCATCAGGTAAGGCAGCACCTGGCCTGTGCACACCCCCAGCCCTACCCACTGCTTGCTCCAGCCACGCGACCCACATGCCCTAAGCCCGGCGCTGCAGTGCCTCCCCTGGGCCAGCAGCCCGTCCCCCAGAGTTGGTGGCATGGCTCTGCCCGCAGCAAGGATGACGTGGAGCGCTGCAAGCAGAAGGACCTGCTGGAACAGATGATGGCTGAGATGATCGGCGAGTTCCCTGACCTGCACCGCACCATCGTGTCGGAGCGTGACATCTACCTGACCTACATGCTGCGGCAGGCCGCCCGGCGCCTCGAGCTGCCCCGAGCCTCTGATGGTGAGGGTCACAGCCTCTGACGGTGATGGTGGCAGGTTCTCTGGGACACAGTGGCTCCTGCGGCACACTAGTGACCTTTGCCCTCTCCACAGCTGAGCCCAGGAAGTGTGTGCCTTCCGTGGTCGTGGGTGTCGTGGGCATGGGCCACGTGCCTGGCATTGAGAAGAACTGGAGCACGGACCTCAACATCCAGGAGATCATGACGTGAGCACCCCTTGGCCCACTTGGGGTCCCCCCTTCCCACCCCAACCCTAGCAGTCTGGGCCCCAGGGACCCACACATTGGTGGCTGGGGCTGGGGGGCTTGTGCCCCAGCCACGCCCAGCCCACTCCTCCCTCCATAGTGTCCCCCCGCCATCCATCATGGGCCGAGTGTCCCGCCTGGCCGTGAAGGCTGCCTTCTTCGGGCTGCTGGGCTACAGCCTGTACTGGATGGGCCGCCGCACCGTGAGCCTCGTGCTGTCACTGCCTGTGGCACAGGCCTGCCTCCAGAGGGCATCTGCGGCCCGGCCTGGCCCATAGGAGGCCACTTGGTGCAGTGCAGGACAGCTGTTCCCCCTGCTGCAGCTGGGGTTTCCTGAGAAGCCGGAGGGGCCAGGGCACCTTCCTGGGAGCATCCAAGCCACCCCCTATGGGGGTTCAAGTCAAGTCTCGCCTGCCCACCCCCCAGCCTACCCTAATAAAGGGATTATTTAACTGTCTGAGCTCAGGCTCCCCAGCAGCCCCACTTTCTCCAAACCCAGAGACTTCAGGGCCCAGTGCAGGCCTGGCTGCCAAGTGGTGGGCTGGGGAGGGGCTCCAGTGCACACGGGTCCTGCCCACAGTGGGCTCGGGGCCCTGGCTGCACCCTACCTCACTGTGCCTTGTGTGCCCCGAGCATCTGGTCCTAAGGTTCTCACGGGCGCTCGGGGCCCACACAGCTCTTCACTGTGGAACAGGGGAGCTGTGGCCACCCTGGACAAGCCTGCAGCATATGTGCTGCATCTCTGCCTACAGAGATTCTGTGTTTTGAGCTTTTTTAAATGTCTGAAAATTTTTTACTCAGGTAATTTTAACTTTAAAGAAAAAAAAGCAAACTGGAGCAAATGTCAGGAAATACAAGCCTTAAGTCCAGCGGGACAGGAGAGTCTTGTGTTTGTCTCTGTCCTGAGCAGGCCCAGGCAGCCCCACAGGATGCTGCCTCCCTCAGGATCCTGGTGGCCTGTGCCCAGCACTCTGCCCCAGCCACCGTGTTCTGGCCCCGCTGTGTCTAGTTGTCCCTGTGCTGACTGTCAATCAAATCAGGGAAGCCCTACAGAACTGGGCCAGGTTGCCAAGCCACTGGGTAGCCCTGTCTCATACTCGTGAACTTGTTCCTTAGAAATGCAAATAAATTCTAATTTTGGAAGCTCCTGTTTGTGCACTGTGTGGAAATGGGGCTTAGGTGAATTAGGGGGTCCTGGGGAACATGCCCATCTCAGCAGAGAACAGAGGTCCTGTCCCGGTTGGTGCCCCCGCACACCTGGCCAGGGCCCACCCGGCAAGGTGACCCAAGCACAGCTAAGGGAGGGTACTGAGCCCCACCTGCACCTGTGGAGGGTGGGAGCAAAAGGCCCTTCTGCTGGTGGGTGCTGGGTGGGTTCATGCTCATATTCTGTTCCTCTAGGAAGGGTGGTCCTCTGTCCAGTGCTGGGTCTCTGTCCTCCATGGCTTGAGTCAGGTTGGTGCAGCAGTGCCCACGGCTAAGTGGCCGACAGTTGGGCTTGGGGCTTCAGAGCTTTCAAACCTGCCCTGACCGGGACTTCTCTCCGCAGGCGCAGGTTGGGTGCTGGAACCCCAGGTCTGGCTGGGCACAGTGAGGAGGAGCAGGTGGGTGCAGGCTGGGCCCCTCAACAGCCCTGTCCAGCCTGGCTGGTCTCCCAGCCTAGTATTCTCCAGCCCATCACCCCAGCAAGATGTCTTGGTGCCCAAGGGCGTGTCTGCTCCCTGTCCAGCATTTCTGGGTCCGTGTCGGGGTGTCTGTGAAATAAGACATCCTTGGCCCACACAGGAAGGGCCAAAGGCAGGGCAGCTTAGACCACTGCCGGGCACAGCAAGCACTGAGTGCAGCAGGCAAGGCCTATGGTGGACCCAGAGTGAGGGGTTAGGCAGTGGAAGGACTAAGAGGTTAAAGGCCTGCCTGGGACTCGGCTGCTCCTGAAGGCAAAGAGGTAGTCACAGTCTGAAGTGGGAATGGTGGCTGCCCAGCTGTTGGGGCGAGGATAGGAAACTGTCAAGCTATCCGTCTCCTGGCTTGGGCAGGGAAGGACTGTTCTCAGAGTCAAGTGGGTGACCCCAAGGGCCACCATTGCCAGCATCCCGCCAGGTGAGTACCCCAAGAGTGAGAAGACCCAAATGCCAGTGCTCAAGGTCAATGAGAGGCAGAGGCTGAGCTGCACTCCCAAGGGCACAGGTTTGTGGAGTCCTGCTCATATCCAGTGGTCTCAGGCAAAACCGCATCCACCTCTGGGGGAATGAATGAAGTCATCACAGTTGAGGTCCAGTGGTATTTAGAAATAAAGAGCACTAGGCATGGTGGTACACACCTGAGGTCCTGGCACTCTTAAGAGGCTGTGGGGGAGGATCATAAGTTCAAGCCAAGACCCTGTCTCAAAAAGGGTATGTAACTCAGTGGTGAGCACTTGCCTAACATATACAACATCCTGAGTCATTCCGTAGTACTAAACAAATCAGGGAGGACTTAGGCCTGGGGTAGATATCCAGGGCATGTCAGAGCGGAGTCCAGTACATGTCACAGTGGACAGCGGCCAGGGCCTGGGGAGATGTGAATTTCCACCTTGGTTTTAAATACCTGAGTTTCTTCATTTGTTTTACTCTGGGAAGTACAAACACAACAAGGTGCGCACTTTTCAAATAAATAAGTGCTGGAGGGAATGTGGATGTTGGACAGGGTGCCTGCCTGAGTTGGCGAAGGCCCTGACTTCCCACCTGGCCAGGCTCTCTGGGACACAGGCTGTGACTTGGAGTTGAGACTAGGGAGAGGCACAGTTTTGAAGACCAAGGAGGGAAGCAGGTCTATTGCTTGTGGCCCAGATTATAGCCTGGTCCTGTGGCTTTGATCTCAACAAGAAACCTGGCAGTCAGGAAAGGAGCCTCGAGGGTTAGGTGAAGCAGAAACGGGGGACTGGCTGGACATGAGAGATAAAGTGAATTCCCATGTCCACAGGCAACCACTGCAGGGGCTGAGATGTCTCAGACTGAGCTGGCTACAGACCTGTGGGACATGGACACCACGACAGCTTCCAAGTCAGCAAGGAGGCCAGACGTGGTGGTGCACAGCTGTAATACCAGCACTCAGGAGGCTGAGGCAGGAGGATCGCTGTGAGTTCAAGACCAGCCTGGGCTACATAGTGAGTTCCAGGTCAGTCTCAACTACATAGTGAGACCCTGTCTCAAAAAACAACCACCAAAAAAAAAATCAGCAAGGAGGCCGGCCCAGTCCTCCTGCCATGCCTCAGTCCATGACTCAGGGACCCCAAGAGAATGCCAGGGAGTGCTGGGGCTCCGCAGCCACCACCCCAGTCAGCTCCCCACTTTGCTGAGAGACTTATGCAGGCTGGAAGTGGGACTGGCAGAGGGGCAGGTAGGGTTGGGAAAACGGGCCCCAACAACCCCAGTACCTCTGCCAAGCCTGCATTGCAGGAAGGGTGGCTGCTCTCCTAGTGCTGACTGACCCTGGGTGGGTCCTGGAGGGTGAGGCATCCCTGACAGCTCTGATCTGGGAAGCCAAGGGGCACAGGCAGAGGAGCTTCAGAGTGCCCTGCTGACACCATGCAGGGGCTGTACTGATAGCCAGGATGGCTCCTTCAGCATGTTAGACTTGAGACCACACTGGCTGCCACAGCAGCTGCAGCCAGGCCAACCTCAGAGGGCTGTGGCAGAGCCTCCTCAGCCTGCACTGATCCCTTTGTTCCAGCTTCCTGTGCAGTCATGTCCAGGCTCAGTTATCTCAGTTGCTTGGGCAGTAGAACCTCTCTCACAGTGCATGTTCGGGCCTGCTATCAGCTGTGTCCTGCACTGGGCCAGGAAGTGTGGACCTGCCACCTGCAGGCACTAAGGAGGCCGAGCTACTCTGGTGTGGCCAGAAGCAAAGCCACTGGAGCTGGGGACGCCACTGCCCTTGTGCTGGCTGAGTCCCTCGGGGTTTGAAGCTCTGAACCTGGCCAGCCTGGCATTCACAGACCCTCAGCAACCCCGTCTTGCCAGATTCCTGAGGGTGGATGAGGCCATGCCAGGCCTGGGAAGTGGGTGGGAGAACTCCAGGCTCCCTGGACATTTATAAAGGAGGCTGCTAGAAACAGCGTATGGCCCCAATGCAGTTGAGGTGGGGAGTAGCGGGGGATGTTCGGGGTGGGGCTGCTCTGTGGGCTGAGAGGGTTTCATAGGCCCTGAGTACCTGTACCATCCACTCACCCATGAGAGGTGGGAGAGTTCACTGTGGTCACACCCCTAGGGGCAGACTTGGGTCATGGTAGCTCTTACATCCATGCTGTGACTCCAGGAGAATGGCAGGAGGGCAGGACAAAGGCGACACAGCCATGAGAGAGCATGTGTGTTTGTCCAGGGTCCCTGAGCTCGGCTTAGGATCTCAGATTTTACTTTGGACCAGGTTAGCATCAGAGGCATCTGAACCCTTCATCTTGCAGCACCTGGCCAAAGGCCTGGCCTAGGCACTGCCCCCGCCCCAAGGAATCTGGGCCTGTGAGTGTCCCTAAGGTTCTCAGCACTAGGTGCTGTCCTGGGGAAACCAGCACCCCATCATCCAAGTCGCTGCCCTCCAGGACTACAGGTAGCAGAGACACGAGGTCATTTTTCAGAACAGGGTGACAGGTGCCCATGGAGGCACTAGTGACCAAATGCTGGGCTGCAGTGTGGAGTCTGGCCCAGCGGCCTTCAGCCTCGGTCCCTTCTGCCGGTGTCGGGGCCAGAACTGCTGGCCCGGCTTGGGGGCACCCCGGAGGAGGTCTTTGGGGACGTCTCTCCGTTTGTCACCTAAGCCATAAGTCTCGAACCTATTAGTTCCTCTCAGCCTGCGGGTCATGGCGGACAGGCAAGGGAGACAGCCAATCAGAACCAAGCTTCTATGGGCGTGGTCCGAGGAGAGGAGGCGGTGCTCGGCGGCGCGGGGCTTCCGTTCGGGGCGGCCACGCTTCCGGCTGAGCGGATGGCCTTTCTCAGAGCCAAGCTCCGTGCCTTGCCAGCAG